GTTACCAAATGATCGATGACACAATAAACCACTAATAAAATTCAAAAATATGACGATACTTTTGAGAACGATCATTTCAGGCAATGCCTGAAAACTTTATTAGGCCTAGCCATTCCTAGGCCTTACGCTACATACATGTTTCGACAGATCCTACTGTCATCATCAGTGTACAGAGATTCCATATTATAGGCAATCTTATGATTTAAACGAGGTGAAGTTTGTGGCACGTCAATCTGTACGTAATTCAACCGTATAAATTTGTGAACACCAAGATCATGAATAAAAACAATGTATGATTAATGGTAAACGGAATGAAGTAAAATCAGAATGACAAAGTTAAATTAACATGGTAGAGTTGTTTGTTGAGTGAGGGCTGCTCCCATTGAATATGTAATGCCTCCTTTATTTTGAGATGATGAATTGATGGAATAAGTGTCAAGAATACGGAAACAGTCCTCACTACAAGTTTGCATGCATTTGCGTGAATTCTTAAGGTGTTTAATATGTGCATAGAGAAAATTTTCTCTATGATACGTGAGAGTTCATACCCATTGCCAAGTGCTCGCGCACGCGTGTTAAGAAGTGTCGCCTAGTTTCTCCGACATAGCTGGCATTACAGCCAGCACACACAAATTTATATACAACACGAGAGCGGAGACCGGCAGGGACAGGATCCTTCACTGAAAACAAATTTTTTGATTAAATGAAGAAAAAACCAACTTAAATTCAAAATCATTACCGGTACATAATTGCTTAGAAAGCAAACGAATTTTATGCGAGCAGTCTTAGAAAAGAGCCGATGTATGGAATTTTAAAATAAAGGTGGTGGTGGTGGATGTGGCATTTATAATGGCCTCAGATGGTTTGGAACGTTTATTGGGGAGCATACAGAATCAAGATATTTCGAAATTATTTTATTGATGATGTGTAGCGGAAACCTATTTTTCCTTAGGATGGATATTAAGGCTTTAAGATCTTCATGAACACCCATCCAGCTACAATTAATTTTGAATGTCCTGTCAACTAGCGTCCGGACCAGTCCGAGTTTGTAATTGAATGAACAAAAACTAAAATAATTAGTGAGGAGCCCAGTAAATGAAGGTTTCCGGAAGACAGAAGTAGATGCTAGCATCTACTTCTCTACTTCTGTCTTCCGAAAACCTACATTTACTGGGTCCTCCCTCAATAGACTGAGCGAATGTGCAGTGTGCAGTGGCGGATCAGGGGGTGAATAGAGTGGCTAGCCACCCCCTTCGGTGGCCGCCGTAAAAAAATGGTCACTCGTTTTGTGTGTGTGCTTCTCATGTAGGCCTATACATGTTACTTAGTAGGTTACCCTGGTAAAACATACACTTTCTATTTTAAGCCTAACTACTTTTTATATGTCATCCAGCGCTTCTAGCAGTCTACTATTTAAAAAAAAATCTCAAATGGAAGGGGACGCCCCTCCCACATGGGCGCAGACCACGCGGCAAGTCTCCCCACAGCTTTTAAAAAGGGGGGGGGGGGTATGGTCTCCTCATTTTTCATACGCAATGTAATTTCGTAAGTCAGGAAGATGTCTAAAAAATGAACTACATAAATGACCCGGTGATCGGACGTACGAGAACCGGTGTTTTCAACGTA